GTTTAGTGAATGATTAAAGGCTTGATTGATAGGTTGTGCTACTCACTAGATTGATTAGACAACTTATGCTTATTTTGCCATCCATGCTTAGTAATTTAATTAATGACACACATATATTTGATTTACAACTTGGAATCCCCCTAAATTGGCAAATGCTAAATGTTTTGTGAGGTGAAGCCTAGCTGTGAACTCTATGCCCCAAGACTTCTCTCTCATTCTCTATACCTTAATATTTAGCTTGATTTTAAATTACATGGTTTTTAATTGAATCATTATCTTAATTCAACCAACCAAACCCCTCTTTGATCATTCAACCTACTAACCCGAATTGATTCCGTAGTACCTTGCAAATCCCTTGGGACGATCCCTTTTCACTCATACTACTTAATATAGTGTTAAATGATTTTTATAAATTTTAAATGTGGTGGCCACTTCACACACTCAACTCTTTACATCATTTTGAGGTATCGACCACGTTGCATACCATGTCTATTATATGATGGGTAAAATATAGGTTGAATATGAGTAACCATATTTAACCCATCTTGACCCTCAAATTAAGTGGTTAAAAATTTCCGAACCCATTTTTGAACCATTGTTAATATGGTTCACCCAAAACCATTAAAAAGTAAGCAGATATGGGTGGGTTGATGGGTTGTGACCTATTTTGCCACCCCTAAATTCTAACTTAAAAGTCAAAATCTAAGCAGGCGATCGATCGAATTGGGGGTTAAATTTTAGACACAAGGGCGATCGATCGATCGATCAACAGAGATGTAGTTTTGAAGCTCCTGAAAAATATTCAAAATTTTCTTAAGGCAAGAATATGCGATCAATCGCGCTGGATTTGCGATCAGTCAACTGAGAATAGAATTTTTTGCAGAGAATTTTTTACAGATGCGATCGATCGGAATCAAGTTGCAATCAATCAACTGAAGGCATGAAATTAGACCCATCTGAAAATTTTCTAAGTCCCGAAGTATAATGACCAGGCCTTTTTCCTCCTTTTCCATTTTTGGCGATTTTCTTTTTTCGTCTTTTTCCCGTTTCTTTCGTTTTTCCATGCATAACCTCATTTTTTGTGCTCGGATTTGATTCCGATTTTGCATACGTTCATGATATTTAAATTTCATGGCATCTAAATTTTTACTTTTGTAAAAATGCATATTAAATGCTTACTTTCTTTGTAAAAGTCATGAAAATAAGACTTTTTGTAATTATCCATAACTTGAGGGGTTTTTGGGTAATTAAGTAAAGTAATTATTTTTCGTCTTAGGGACCATTTTGTAATTTCATTTGGAAGGTATTTTCAAAAAGGACTTGTTTGTAATTTTCGGAAAGTGTGACAAGTGTCACACTCTCTCATTGGTCCACTTGTTAATATTTGCGTGGAAACACTTTGATGCCTTGGATGATGACATGTGGAGGGTGGAGATTCACCCACTTGTTGGCCTAGGATTGGTACACTTGTTGGCATGGATGGTTAACAAATGTAGGTTCAATATTAAGTCTTGGAAGTTTACATAGGATGGTGACAAGTGTAGGCTTGAGATTAAGCCTAGGAATGAACCATAGATTCATGACAAGTTTAGGTTCACCATTTAGTCTTGCATTGTGTGTGTGAGAGAGGTAGTGTAAGAGCACACAGTGAGTGGAGGATTTTTAGCCCTTCCACTCACCATTTTACACTTTATCATTTTCATTTTCACTTGTCTTCAAGAACCATAACCTAGCCACCATTGAAGAAAAGCTTGGTTAATAGCTTTTTTCTTCATTTTGGCTTCCTTCCACTCACCTTAAGCATAAAACCTTGGAAGACAAAAGCTTCCTCTTACTCCCTCTTCATTAACCCTAAACTTGTTTTCCATTTTGAGCTTGGTTGCTTGGATTATAGAGATTCAATTCTCTATTGAGGTAGGGGGTGTTATCATTTATCTTCCAAGTGATTTTATTTGTTCCTATAGTGATATCTAAGTTATATGTTCGTCTTGTATTAAAATGAGAAATAAATGATTAATTGTGACTTGTATGTAATTCACTTTAGACTTGATAAATAACATGACCATGGCTTGATTCATAACTTATGTTAATTTGAGGTCATTTAGAGTTGTTTTAAAATCTAGAGGGATTAATGAATTAATTTAATTAATTTTTATTTATATGCTCCCATGACTTAAATCAAGTTTTGAAGTGATTTATATAATAACCATGACATGTACTACAACATATATTAAATTGAGCATGTTTGGATGAGAAGTGAAATCTATGGAATTTAGTTGTTTTATTTAATTGTTTAAATTATGATTTTAAACTTATATCATACTTGTGAGGCTATGTTCTTGTTGTTGAATGATATTGTTGTAATTAGTGGCAAATTGCATAATGATCATTCAATATTCTTCATGCCATTTTAGTTGAGAACTTAGGGCATGTATTGTGTTTCCAAAATTGATTTGTGCATGTTGATGGCTTTACATTGTATATATATATGTTATGTTGATACATATATGTAATGTGCATAAAATTTTGATTTTGGAAACTTGGGGATGTCGTTGTTATGACTATGGCTAGGGCATGGTTCTAGTACGGGGGAAAGTCCCTTTACAAGTCTAGTGCGCACGTAGGGAGGTTACCCATGGGCTAGTAACCCTAAAGTAACCACATTGTCGGTTTGATCCGGCGTGACGTCCAAGTATCCACTTTGGTTTGATTTTGCATTTAAATTCCAAGTTGTTAACTTTGTAAAATTACATCTCATTGTGTTATGTTAAAAGTTCTATTGTCACTTGATAGCATGAATTAAATGATATTGGATTGTAACTTGGTACAAAGATAAACCCATGCATTCCCTACGAGTAAACTTGTTTACTCACCCCTAAGTTAATGGGTGTTTTGCAGGTAAAGAAGCCTTAGTGTGGGATGCACAGCATTCTTAGACTCACTAGAGTTCTTGAAGTATTTTTGATGACATAGAATATGCATATGTTAGCATATCTTGTCCTACTTTTGCTTACTTTAATAAAACTTGTACTTATTGTCTAAGTTATGTAATGTGCACTTAAGTGCACCTTTTGACACTCTTAGAATGTGGTTGTAATGAGGCCAAGGGCCAAAGACACTTATGTGAAATGTATGCTAACTTTGAACTTCATTGTTGCCTATGGAAGATATGTGGATTAATGCATTGAAGGATCTATTCTGCATATGACATGCCATGAGGCCATAGGCCATTACAACACATCTATTTTATCACATTACATATGCTTGCATGCTCACTTTGCCAAACAACACCATCCTTGATGAAACAAAGACTCTAAGTAGCATTTTTAGGTAGTTTTACCCTATTCTGTTCTAGGGGCATTTCGGGTATTTTAAATTGCATTTTTTCATTTTTCCTCTTAGGTCACCTAGAAAACTCAATTTTGAGGGGGGTTTCTTCTTTGTGGTTTTCTAGAAAATGCCATCTTGGCCCTCAAAATTTTATTTTTTTTTCGAAAAAATCATTGCTGCCAGATTTTTGCCGACTTTAGTGCTAATATACTTGGTACTATTCATCGACTTTTTTTTTAAAAGCGTGACGACCGATCCGAAACTTCCGGGGGTCTTGTGGGTATATTTTAAGATTGAATTTTCAATTTAGGCAATTTAAAAACCTTCCGAAGCCCCATTTCCTTTCTTTGGGTAGTAGCTTGGAATGATTTTTGACCTCTAGACCTGATTTTCTTGAGGGTATTTTGGACATTTTACAATGCATTTTTTTGGTTTCCGTCTGAGATTCGGGTAGAAAACTTGATTTTAGGGGGGGTTTCTTCTTTGAGTTTTTCCTGAAAAGTCCGTTTAGATGTCTGTTTTTACTTTCAGTTGCAGTAGTAGTGGGTTGACGGCACTGTAGCTGTCACGGCCTTCGTCGGACCGCCGCGACGTCGATTTTGTTTTTGACCTTTCTCCCTCATCCGGACTCCAAATCAAGTGAGTTTTTTTTTTTTTAAATTGATTAATTTTTCATTGTCTATCCAACGATATGCTCGGTTGCACCCAGATATTTTTTGATAATTACCAGTTTACCCTTTTAGCTTTATTGCTCGTTTTTCTTTGTTTTGTCGTTTCTCCTTCGTCCGGAATCCGGATAATGAAATTCTTGAGTCCATCATCACTAGTTTTTCATTGTCTTCCCAGTGGTGTGCTCGATAGCACTTGAATCCATTTTTTTGCAAAATGCCCATTTTGCCCCTAGGTTCCTTTTTGTCCGTTTTTGAAACGACACTTTCGCATTTGTTTTCCTTTGGGTTCCATAACCTCATTGAGGGTCACATTGGTGTCTTAGAGACGCATTGTATCTCTAGAGACCGTTGTTTCACCTTTCACTTCCGCATTTCGAAATCCGTTATCGGGTCATCTTTTGGTCATCACTAACGCACTGGGTTTACAAAACTTGGGCCGTCACAAGTGGTATCAAAGCTACTAGGTTCGTAAACCTTAGGACGACGGGTTTTGGGTGCCTAACATGCTTTTGTTAGTGTACTTTGATTTATTAGCATACCTTTGATAACATGTTTTTGGCATTATAACATGATTACATGTTTCTTGGTGACATACTTGTTATTATGATATGTCTCTATATTTGTATGCTTATATGTTTAAGAAGCATCCTTGTTTAACATATTGCTTAAGTGCTTAACTGTTTAAACAGCCTTCTTTGATTGCCTTATCATGACCGTATGTTACATACCTCATCTTGCTTCGTATTTCTTACTTTCATAGTACGAGTTGCATTCGGTCATAATAACTTGTGTTATTGTTGACCTCTTTCATTGCATATGTTTAGCATCATGGTTGTCACACGTGGGTAGTCTTCGCGTAAGGGCGTTGAGGAGCAGGTGGATGACACCGAGTTTACGAGGGGTCCAGGGAGGCCTAGGATTCCAGTTCGTGGCACGGGTCCAAATCCACCACGAGCTCCGACTTACGAGGAGCAGATTGCACAGGGAGTGGTTCTGGGGATGTCAGAGTCCATTCAGGCGATGTTTCGCCAGCAAATGGCGGGGATACAGATTCCGGTACCGGCACCAGCACCGGCACCAGTTGGTAATGAGGCATTGGACTACTTTATGAAGTTACAGAGGGTTAAGATCGACCAGTTTGCAAGGAGTATGGATCCGCTTGCTTTAGAGGCATGGTTTGATCTCACGGTACGCAAGCTCGATAGCATGGCAGTACCTACAGACTGATTGAGGATCTCCTTGACAGCCTCTATGTTCATGGGAGATGCCGATATCTGGTGGAGGTCTATGACCAATAGCCACGATGTGGAGGTGATGACTTGGGAGGAGTTCAGGACATTGCTCTTTGACTGCTTCTTTTCAAGGGCTATGAGGCATGATATGAGAGTGTAGTTTACAGGTCTTTATCAGGGCAGGATGAGTGTCATTGAGTATGAGACACACTTTACTTCTCTTTCCCGCTATGCACCGGAGATGGTAGCCACCGATGAGCTCAGGGCGAAAAAGTTTTAGGATGGGTTACATCTTGATATTAGGCCACGAATTTCAGTGTTGGATCTGAGGACTTATGGGGAGGTAGTACAGAAGGCTATGCTAGTTGAGGCAGAGGATCGAGATCAAGGGTTCATATAAGCAGCCACGTGGAGAGGCTTCATCAATATCCGTTGGGGGTCAGTGGAAGAAGGCTAAGGCTGGGGACAGTTCACGCACTCAGGGATAGTCACAGCAGGCTCGGTCTGCATCTGCAGGTCTAGTATCTTCGGGGTCAGCCCGGGGAGTCATTTGTCACCACTGTCAGCAGCCGGGGCACATCAAGCCTCGTTGCCCACAGTTGCAGTCTCAGGGCGGTCGTTCTCAGACTAGTAAGTCTTCAGCTTCGATGCAGGGACTTCAAGGGGTTTGCAATTACTGCAAGCAGCCTGGACATTTCAAGAGGGAGTGTCCGCACCTACAGAATAGGGCACAGAGTGGCGCAGGCCTACAGGCCACACCGGCACAATCGACAGTTGCACAGTTAGGTTTTAGGGTGCCTCAAGCACCACAGCCAGTTGCACCAGTCAGTTTGTATCCGGGTAAGAACCCTACACCTACTACTTCCGGACATCAGTCAGCTCAGTAGGGCAGTTCACAGTAGTCAGGGGCTCAGGGATGAGCTTACGCACTGCCACAGGCCGATACCTCCGCAGGGACTTCTATAGTTCGAGGTATCTTTCCAGTTTTCAGTTCTTGGGCTAGAGTTCTTGTTGACACAGGGGCATCACATTCATTCATATCTACATCATTTGCATATTCTTTGGGTCTGGAGGTCACGCAGTGGGATGGTTTCCTTTGTGTTGACACACCAGTTGGTGGTCCAGTGTTTTTGGACCGTGTTTGTCGGGGTTATGCTATCGAGATAGCTGGACGGACATTGGAGTTTGATTTTGTTGTTTTCGACATGACGGGTTTTGACGTCATTCTTGGGATGGACTGGTTGTCTTTCTTTCGTGCCACGATTGATTGCTTTCGTGGGCGAGTGTCTGTTTGCAATCTCGCGGGGGATTATTTTCACTTCGTGGGAGATCGGAGCGATTCCCACCCGACGATGATTTTTAGTATCGGTGACTGGAGTCGCCACAGGTCCTACTTGGCTAGCCTGTTAGTTGACGAGGGTAGCAGTCTGGGCCATGTTTTTCCGACAGTTGTAGACGAGTTTCTGGATGTCTTCCCGGAGGAGTTGACAGAACTCCCTTATCTTCGGGAGGTTGTCTTTGCCATCGATGTCATTCCCGGTACTGCACCTATTTCTATGGCACCGTACCGTATGACACCGGCAGAGCTTGATGAGCTGAAAGCTCAATTGGATGATTTGAAAGCTAAGGGCTTTATTCGTCCTAGTGCTTCACCCTGGGGAGCAACGGTTCTTTTTACGAAGAAGAAGGATGGGTCTTTGAGACTTTGCATCGATTATCGCAAGCTGAACCATGTCACAATCAAGAACAGGTATCCTTTGCCTAGGATTGATGACTTGTTTGATCAGTTGAAGGGAGCGACATGCTTTTCAAAGATTGATCTGAGATCGGGTTACTATTAGTTGGGGGTTAAGGATGAGGATGTATCCAAGACCGCTTTCCGCATATGGTATGGCCATTATGAGTTTCTAGTGATGCCATTTGGTTTGACCAATGCTCCAGTAGCTTTTATGGACTTAATGAACCGTGTATTTAGTAACCATCTTGATCAGTTCGTTGTAGTCTTTGTTGATGACATTCTTATATACTCAGCTTCGGTGGAGGAGCAAGAGTATCATTTGAGGACAGTGTTGCAGATCCTTAGGGATAATCGGTTGTACGCCAAGTTCGAGAAATGTGAATTTTGGCTACCAGAAGTGAAGTTCCTTGGACATGTTGTGTTAAGGGGCGGTGTTGCAGTGGATCCAATGAAGATTGAGTCAGTGATGGATTGGGAGCGTCCAAAGACAGTGTTTGAGATTTGGAGTTTTCTTGGTCTAGTCGGCTATTACCGGAGATTTATTCGGGATTTCTCTCGTTTAGCGGCACCTATGACTCGACTTACCCGTAAGGGGGTCAAGTTCGTATGGAACGAGGCATGTGAGTTTGCTTTTCAGGAATTGAAGGTCAGGTTGACATCGGCTCCAGTTTTGATCATTTCTGAACGTGGTTTAGGTTATGTGATCTTTTGTGATGCTTCACGAGAAGGTTTGGGTTGTGTCTTCATGCAGACAGAGCGGGTGGTTGCTTATGCGTCTCGACAGTTGAAGACTCACGAGTTGAACTATCCAACACATGATTTGGAGTTAGTAGCAGTTATCTTTGCCCTGAAGGGGTGGAGACACTATTTGTACGGGGAGAAGTTTGAAGTTTTCTCCGACCACAAGAGTCTCAAGTATCTCTTCTCTCAGAAGGATTTGAACTTGAGACAGCGCAAATAGGTTGAGTTTATCGAGGATTACGATTTTAAATTACAGTATCACCCGGGTAAGGCCAATGTGGTAGCCGATGCATTGAGTAGGAAGTCATGGGGAACTCTTGCTAGCATTTCCCTTCATAGATGGAAGAAGCTAGAAGAGCTTGCAGATCTTGGTTTACAGTGTTATGAGGATGTTTCATCGGCTATTTTGTTTAGCCTTGTGGCTTAACCGGCACTTGTTAGCAGAGTTATTGAGGCACAGTTGGAGGATGGGGAGATGAAGTGATCGGTTGATAATTCGATCTAAATTAAATCAACCTTCGCAATAGCACGAATCATTGTAAAATAGGGCTATTGGTCGGGTAAGTCGAACCACTGGGACTGCGCTAATCTATGGCAACCTAAGTATCTAGAATCATCTCTTAGAATGATAAGGGTTTTATAGAGGATTTGTTGGGTTGTCACTAAAACTAAAATGTGAGGTTCATAAAATAAAACTTGCAAGAATTAAAGCGAGATAAAAATACGAGTAAAGGCAACTAGGGGAGTGAATCCGTCTCCATCCCTATACACATGCTAGATTAGAGCTAAATTGGGGAAAAACAATATATAATGGCCAAGAATTATATAGCAACTCATGGTTGCCATATAATTAACAAGAAGTACATTGAATCACAAACAAGAATAATCCATCAAAGGTGAATATGTTTAGACTACCTAAACTAGAGTGTAGCTTAAACACATATACTTAAATGAAAGACTATCAAGCCCTTGACACAATGATGAAGCACATGAAGGTAGGGATTAAGCATACACCATCAAAGGGCTTCCCTAAGCAATGATCTATCAAAGTCACCTATCAACATGTCATTAAACCATTCCATAACCTAGTTTCCATTCTCACCATGAAAACTCAAGCAACATGATTAATGTAAGAGGTCATCTAAAACAAGATAAACAACTCAAATAAATCATTCATAGCAATATTAACATTCATTACAACAAATGAAGTGCTCTTGGTTATGAAAAGACCATAGCATATACATTGTAATCCCCAAAATAAAGCTAAACTAGATCATGCTTACAAGGGAGGGACTTCATCACCTCCCTAGAGGGTGAGTTAGTTACCCATAGAAGCTTTAGATGAAGGAAAAACCATGCCTTTTCCCTCCATTTTCGAGCTCCCTTCTTGTGGCTTCAAGAAAACCTTCTCTTGCTCTCCTCCCTCCCTCTAGAAATTCTGCCCTTCCAAGATATTTGATAATGAAATGCTCCTTTAGCTTTTGTAGGCAAGAAAACCAACCAAAACCCCTCAAAACAAGGCCCTCCACACATCTTCTACCAACTCCAAAAAGAGGAAATAAGAGATGAGGGTGACAAGGCACAAGTGGGCTGAAAATGAGGACTTCCGGAAGGCATTCTGCCCAATTTTCGAGCGCTCGAAGGTGGCTCTTCGAGCGCTCGAAGCTACTTTCCAGCTTGAGCCACTTTGGCAAAATGACCATAACTTCCCGCTCCGAACTCCAAATGACGAACCGTTTGAAGATTTGGAAAGATAATTCAAAGCTCTACATAAACCATGTTATAATGAAAGTCCAGTTCTGAAGGTTGGAGGGTCAAAAATGAGGAGCAAGGTCGAAATCCATTGCTGCCAGGCTGTTCTGCGCACCTTTGGTGAAAATAGCATAACTCTTTGTTCTGAACTCCAAATGAAGCAAACTTTATGTCTTTGGAAAGCTGATTCATATCTCTTCATGTTATATGTTTTGATGAAAGTCCAGTTCTCGAGTTTGCTAGGTCAAAAATGGTGATCAAACTCACTTCCCACTGCTGCCAGAACTTCCTTAATGAGCACCATGACATTTAAGGCTTCAACAAAAACTCATTCTTGCTCCTTTTTGGCCAATGAACCTGAAAATAAATATGAACATGCAAATGAAGGCAATCTAAATAAAATAAACAACTAATGGACTTAACTAATGCAAATAAGGGCGCTTGAATATGTAATATTCGGCGCTTATCATGAAGGCAATTCATGTTCGGATTTCAAGCGGCGAGCATGTAGAGGGTTAGACCTTACATTCAGACGGTGGTCTCAGGTACAAGGGGATGATGTTTGTTCCATTATCTTGTCGTGAGGACGTTCTTTGGGATTTCCACCATTCTAGGCTCGCAGTTCATCTTGGTGGTACAAAGATGTATCACAATCTGCGATGACAGTTTTGGTGGCAGGGCATGAAACGGGATGTTTCACAATTCGTGGCTCGATGCCTTACTTGTCAACAAGTGAAGGCAAAGCATCAGAACCGGCAGGATTGTTGCAACCATTACCAGTAGCTGAGTGGAAATGGGAGCATATCATTATGGATTTCGTGACGGGACTTCCGAGGTCTCAAGCAGGGAATGATGCCGTTTGGGTCATAGTTGACAGGGTGACTAAGACGACTCACTTTTTACCGATGGCAATGACAGATAGTGCAGAGAGACTGAGTGGACTGTATGTGAGACAGATTGTCAAGCTTCACGGGGTTCCTATATCAATTGTTTCGGATAGGGATCCGCGATTTACCTCTCACTTTTGGCAGAGTTTTCAGGAGGCTCTTGACATAGGGCTTCATTTTAGCATAGCATTCTATCCTTAGACTGATGGACAGTCGGAACGCACCATTTAGGTATTGGAGGATATGTTGCGAGCTTGTATTTTAGATTTTGGGGGTAGTTGGGAGGACTACTTGCCTTTGGTTAAGTTTGCCTACAACAACAGTTACCAGGCCAGTATTGGCATGGCACCTTTTAAGGCATTGTATGGCAGACCTTGCAGATCTCCAGTTTGTTGGACCGAGGTCGGTGATACTGTTGCCTTAGGTCCCGACATTGTTATTGAGACTACAGAGAAGATCAAGTTGATTTGGCAGCGGTTGGCTACCGCACAGAGTAGACAGAAGAGTTACGCTGACACGAGGAGGCGATCATTGTCTTTTGAGGTAGGGAATCATGTCTTTCTTAAGATTTCTCCGCGTAAGGGGCTCCTGAGATTTCGGCAGACTGGCAAGTTGTCGCCTAGGTTCATCGGACCATTTGAGATTTTGGAGCGCGTCGGTGAAGTTACTTATCGTTTGGCATTGCCGCCAGACCTAGATAGCGTTCACGACGTCTTTCATGTCTCTATGTCGAGGAAGTATGGGCCAGACCCATCGCATGTTCTACGGT